ACTCCATTCTCATACACGTTAACAGACTTTTCCAGTAGCTGTACTGGCCGTGATTGCCAGGGCAAATTAATCATTAAACACGCTTGCTTTTAAACCATGTGTAATATTTACAAAGGTACACTCACCAGAGGTCCCTTGTGTGCCCTCAGGGTCTGGGAGCACGCCTTGGGTGAGTTTAGGGGTTACTGGTTCCAGGTCCAGGGTGATAAACATATCCTGGCTGTTGGGGAAACCGGTTTCTCCGCTTCCTTGTTGTGAGCTGTCTTCATTGTCTTCATCATCATCTTCCTTGTACCCCAAACCCGCTTCCCTGTTGCGTGCTTCTCCATTGATGGAGTCAAAGCACACGGTTGGGGTAGTGGTGGCTGCACCCCCTAGCATGGCATGCAGCTCCGCGTAGAAGCGGCATGTCTGTGGCTCTGCCCCGGACCTTCCATTTGCCTCTCTGGCTTTGTGGTAGGCTTGCCTTAGCTCCTTAATTTTCACGTGGCACTGCTGTGCGTCCCTGTTATGGCCTCTGTCCTTCATGGCCTTTGAGACTTTTTCTAATATTTTGTCAATTTGTTTACTGCTACGGAGTTCAGCTAGCACTGATTCGTCTCCCCATATGGCAAGCAGATCCCGTACCTCCCGTTCGGTCCATGCTGCAGCTCTTTTGCGATCCTGGGACTCCATCGTGGTCACCTGTGCTTTCCACGCTGGGCAAACAGGAAATGAAATTCAAACGTTCGTGGGGTTTTTCCTGTCTACCTGGTCAGTGCATCTGAGTTGAGAGTGTTGTCCAGAGCGGTCACAATGATAGCTCCCGGAGGGCAGTACCGTCAAATTCCGTCCACACTACCCCAAATCTGACCCGGAAAGGCCGATTTCAGCACTAATCCCCTCATTGAAGGTGGAGTAAAGAAACCGGTTTAAAGGACCCTTTAAGTTGAAAAAAAGGGCTTCGTCGTGTGGATGTGTCCAGGCTTAATTCGATTTAACGCTGCTAAATTTGACCTAAACTCGTAGTGTAGACCAGGCCTGAGAGGGGAATGGCCTGGGAGCACTGCAGTAGGGCATTTTGGCTTTGTATTGCCCCCAGGAGTTGCCTCTGCATCTCACTCTTTTTATATTATTTTTGGACATGGCAGTGTTTTCCCTGGCAACGGCCATGCTGTCCTTTGCCATTGCAACAATCTCTCAGTCCTCAGATACTGCTTCCAACTCTCTGCATTTTGGGCTTTTTTGGGGGGGCCTCTGTAATGATGCCACAAACATTTTATCATAAGCTTTCTCCCCCTCAGGTTTGCCAGCCATTCTGCTGTTGATAAGGGCCCTGTCCTTGAGTCTGTCCCATGCAGGTGTCATTGCTGTGGGGACATTATATATTTAAAAAAAAAAAAGCAGTTATTGTTCCTCGTCTAGGGAGGCTCTGATAACTTTTTTTTCCATGCATTTCTGCCTTTACCTCCTTGAGATTCTTCCATCCCGAGGATTCTCCGAGACTGGGTAAGTGGTGTGTGCTGTGGGTTTGTTGTCTATGCTTCATATGATGTGTGGCTGGGGCAGGGATGGAGTTGGAAAGTATGTTCCTGGTCTGGCTTTGCTGTGCCTTGGATGTGCTTATGTGGTTTTGGAGGGGTTAGTGGGGTGAATCTGGGGCGAGATGGATAATAATCACCTCTACATCCCCTTTAGGTTGTCCTCACTCTGGATGATGTTACACTGAGGCGGGTGACTAGGAGCTGGTTGAAGGTGGATGGACAGGTGGAAAGTGAGGTCCTATACAATAAGGGTGTGAAATATGGATCGTATAATGGGACTTTGAGAGTATATGAAGAGAATGATATGAAATCTTTCTACTTTCTGATGGATGGGTTGAAAATATTGTTTCCATATGGAGAATAAGATGCCAGGATTTCTTATCTGTAGTTTTGAGACTGGATGTGGCTATGGGAGCAGAGTTAAGTTTGGTTTTGCATTTTGCAATGTGATAATTAAAAGACTGTATGAGCTGTGATTGTATTTGAATGTATGCCTCTCCTCCCCTAGCTGTTAATTTCTACCTTAAACGCTCAAATTTTTGTTGTAGCATAGCAACAGCCATTACTTATGTAAAAGGTGTGAGTGGGTTTTTTTATTTTTTTTAGCTCTCTTAATACTAGAGCTGATCAGAAATTTTCCAGCAAAACATTTATTCAGAAAATGCCAATTCATTGTAGAGAAATGTTTTGATGAATCTACTACAGACTTGACTAAACTTTTGCTGAAACAAAGGCAGGTTTCAGGGTCTGCAGCTATGGCAGAAAACCTGCCAACTCCTGGAGCCCCGTCTAGAGCTGGGACTCTGGGTGCTGGCAGGCTCCCCTCACTCCAGCAAGCAGCCCTGGGAGCCTGAATAGCAGCTGTGAAATTGACAAGAAATAAATTTCATGTTTTGTTTCAAGAACACCATATTTCAATGTTTCTAAAATAAAATTTTTGGGGATCTTTGGTTTTGATGGGAAATTTTGGTAAATTTGGTTTCATTCTAAATCAGAAGGAAAGCAAATTTGTAAGTAGCAAAATCTCCTGCGAATAAAAACCCCTAAATTTTGGCCAGCTCTACCTAATACACCTCTACCCCGATATAATGCGACCCAGATATAATAACCTGAATTTGGATATAACACTGTAAAAGAAGTGCTCCAGTGGGGCGGGGCTGCGCACTCCGGCGGATCAAAGCAAGTTCGATATAACGCGGTTTCACCTATAACGCAGTAAGATTTTTTTTTTTGGCTCCCGAGGACAGCGTTATATTGGGGTAGAGGTGTACAAGAAATGTGAGTTCAATATCAAGGTTATGCTTCTGCTCCCTGGATGATTGAGAGTGAGTTGGGAGCCTGTTGGTGTGGGGAGGGAAATGGAGAGAAATTGAACTATGTATCTGTTTTCGTTGCCCTCTCTTTCTCTTCTTTCACCTTGTCCTTTCCAAATCCCTGCCATGACCAGCTCTTTGGTGGCTATCAATGTCCCCAGAGAATGGCATGTCTGGCTCTCCTTGACTGGTGGGAGGGTCACTGTAGCAGGAACAAAAGAGAGTGAAATGAAGGGGGTGATCCCAGAGGGCCCTAGAAAGAAAGAGAAGGCAGTCAAATTAGTAGTTCCCAAAACTCTTAACATGTAAGAGGTGAGAAATAAGACAATAAAAGAACAAAGGTAAAACAACATATGCAAACACTTACAGTTCTCATAATGTTACCCTTTCCCATGAGGAGGCTGCTGAATGACTCTCAGTAATGTTTCTCATATGTTAACTGTAGGTCTGAGTAGTATGCATTCCTTTTCCGCCAAACCCTTAAAACTGTGATAAGGTTGTAGAGTTAATCAGACATCTGAGTTGTTAATATTGTTGAACATTAATTTAGTGGTCATTTCAATAAAATGCAAAAATAATAAAGTACAGAGATCTCTCTTTGAATTGATCAATAGCATTCATTTGGTTTAGCAACTGCTATTATTCTCTAGTTCAGTGAACGTATGGGATTTCTAACATTTAGCGTGACTTGCTTGCCTGGGACCAGTTTTTATAATGTCAGCTGTTCTTTGGTAATAGTGTTTAACTTTTGCTGCACCTATAAGTGGGAATAAAAGCACTTTTTTGGCTAAGTCCTATATGAACAGATAATTTTCAGTTTGCAGCATAAGAGTAGATTAAGAAGACTATTTCCAACAAGATTATAATAATTTTTTTAAGCATTTCCGAACTAAGCATTAATTACTACTGCATGTGTAACACTTTGAAGATCTTAAGTGCTTATTATCAAAAAGTTGCGTGACAGAATCCCTCTTCAGCAGTAAGTAAAATATTTCATAACTTATTTTTAAGCTTTGGAGGCTTCTCGGTTCTAATAGTTTACCCTCTTAAATGATCTTTCTCGTGAAGTCTGTAAATTAATACACTTCTAATTCCTTTGTCACTTACAATTTAACATTGTCTCTTGACTAGAATTGGTACAGAATTTTATGGATGCACATTCTAAATTTTGTGGTTATAGTAACCTGAAAAGGGTGTGACTGTAGATGCTAATTGGGAAGACCGTTAATGCTATTTTTACTTTAGCTTGCTATCTCTGACACAGCTTTGAAATTACATGGAATTATGCAAAATGAACGGTTAAATATCTAAGGAGTGGGGAAACTTTATTATAAAAGCTAAATATTTCACTTTAATAAGATATTTTGTAGAAATAATAATGAAGATCTGAAAACTATCTGAGTTACACTTTAGTCATTGATGACATATAGTAAATTTCACTCTTCGGGAAAGAGCCTACTTAGATAAGATGCACATGGGATAAAATCCTGAACAGCTCTTAATATATTAAGTGCTACTTCACACCTAACTGTTGAACCCCTCCCATCTGTCCTATAGAAGGGCAATATGAAGCCAACAGCGGAGCCCTCAGTCTTTCTTTAGACTAGAGAAAGTATTAATTCCACAACCATATGCTAAAAAAACCAAGATTAACAGTCTTTATTCAAGTTTAGAGAGGGGGGCTGTGATGCTTTGGGGTTCAACCAGACCACTAAGGGGTTTTCACCACCTGCCCTGCAATTCTGGATACCTTAAATGCTATGCTACTGTGGCTCACAGCCAGGACACCAACAGTCAGCCTTACAAGGATGTAGGTCACATCCTGGCTTCCACCATCCAGTTGCTTTTTGCAGCATGACCCCATCCCTCAGTCCTGAGTTTCCCCAAAACCATCTGCCCTGTTGTGTCCAGCCCTCTCCTGGAACACTCTTAGAAGTTACATTTGCTGCTCCTTTAAAGAGACAGTAAACAGCAACTCATTAATTTAGCTGGGGTTTGTCAAACGCTCTTATTTCAATCAAAGTACTGAACTGGCTTACAGTAAAAGTAAAACAAATTTATTAAACAGAATGTTGTAGGTTTAAGTGACAACAAGTATAAGGAATAAGGATAGAAAAGGTTACAAACAAAAGCAAAAATATGCATCTAACACTAAAACTGAATTTCAGCAAGTTACAATCTTTTCCTAAACAGGTTTCTCACCTATATTCAGTCCCCTTAGTTGAAGGATCAATCATTCTGTGATTTGAAGAGCTCTGGCCCCTTTAGTCCCTCAAGTGATGGATGCCCAAAATGGCTTTTTCTCTCTCCTTATATCTTCCCAGAGTTTAGTGGCCCTGCTTCAAGAGGCAGGAAGGCTTCTGGAAGATGCAGTCTCCCTCCCCCATCAAGATAGTTAGTCATTTTTCCCCACTTGCTCTCTTGATGACTTTATTTATCTTGCATGTAAATGCGCTTTTCTTTCTCTTTGGTCACATCTTGCTTAATTCACATCAGAGACACAGTCCTTTGTTTGGAACAGGGGTAGGCACGGCTTGGTAAATACGTTTTAATAACCTATTTGCAGCACATCTCTATAACGCCCTTTGTGAGTTTACTGTTCATACATCATGCAAGAATATTAATGATCAGTGAATTATTAGTTTTCCAGCAGTGATTTATTACATGCGAGCTTTTTTGTATATATCATGACAACAGTGTACCAATTGGCACTGGAGTGCTCTTAGGGTCGCAGGTTTGCATGCTTCATGGGTTGGGTAGACTGATCTTATTACACATAGGATGGGCTCTTTGTATTCTTCCGTACTACCCCACAAACTCCCTGTGAGCCAATCTCTCATTCCCCCACCCCCTTTTTCTAGGGACTCCCTGCAACTACCCTCAATCTCACCTCTGTCTGTGACTCTGTGTCCCCCCATTACCCTTTCCTCCCATACAGAGGTCCACAACTCTCCCCCATACTAGCACCCCTATGCCGCCGCTTTCTCCCCATGGCAGGGGATGTTCTCCGTATCCCCTGTACCAGGTTCCCCCAATCTCCCCTCCATCAGGGTTCTGAGTGTCCCCCATGCCCCCCTCATCCATTCCAGGGTTTCCCATTCTCCCCCTACATGGCAGGGGCTCTTTGTGCACCCATATTCTCCCCTTTTTCCTTCATGCTTCCCTCCTCCCA